GCGCCTGAGGGAGGCTCACACCGCCCCCCCGGCCTCCTCGGCCTGGGGAATCGGGGGTGAGGGCTTGCAGAGGCCTCCCTTCCCTCCCTCCGCAGGGAGGGTGTTCCTTTGCTCACCCAGCCTCTGTCCCCATGGGAGCCAGGGGAACTGCAGGCTCCTCGTTTGCCGGCGGGGAATGCCTATGATTTTTGCTCCCCCTTGGGTCGGGCCTGCCCTTATCGGAACTGGAGAGAAGCGAAAAGAGCGCTTCTGCTTTCTGCTACCTCCCCCCAACCCCGTCTCTCCTGGGAAAACTCCCGTGGCTCCCTCGAGGGGGAGGGGTTGGGGGGCAGTGCTGCGTGGCCCTCTTTCTGTGTGCTTCACCCTGTTGTTCCGTGTCCCTGTTTTGACAGAGGAAAAAGCGAAGCGGGAACGCCTGTTCTTCCTTAGCTTAGGCAAGGCTGGTTTTCTCTGTTGCAATACAAAAAGAGTAGTGAGATCCAACATGGTTATTACATCATGGCTTTAGGAGGGATCCTGAAGCGACTGGCTTAGATTGGACAGTCACTGTCCTCATGCACCATTTAGATTGGCGCATGATGTGAATAGCAAGTGAGCCAAGAGGGGAGGAAAAAACCGGAATGCATGTTGTACACCAGGAAGGTTAGAAAGATGTCGGTTTGATTCACGTGAAAAATAGTCTGTCTTAAACAGGAAGACATTAATGGTTTTTTGTTTGGTTGTTGTTTTTCCCTCAAGAAAGTAGATGCTGTGATTGGTTCTACTAAAAAGCTCATTAGTGTGCATTCTGGATGTCTTCTGTGAAAAACTCTCTCAAGGGAGTCCTCCATTCAGCTATGCCATGGTGTGGGAAGGAAAGCTTGAATGTTGTGTAATTCAATAATTAGAACAGTTCACATAGGTTTTTGTAACAGTTGCAAGCAGTTGTAGTGTTTAGAATCTGTTTCTTAAAACCTGGGCACCTTCAAGCAGAATTAGGACAAAAAAAAAGTGCATTTACATGCTTTCCTGTTACTTTTTTGTAATTGTTGGTAGACACACAGTGGATTTCTGTAATGTTTGTAAATAAGACATTATAGTTCTGTAAGTACATTACAGTAGCTGGTTTTCTTGCACAAAGATACAAATGATGCATTCAATTTGTTGGAAGGCCACAGGAGCTCAGGTGTGTCCACCAAAATGTGTATCTTTAGGAATTACAGATGAGGTCCATTCTTACTGTTACCAGTTTCTAAGTAGCATACATTGTAATGCTAAAGAAGCAAAACCGGTGCCGTTTAAACAACATGAGATGGTAGCTAAATGAACTTTCTAAGTTAAACCACACTTGGATGCATTATCTGTATCCCATATTTGTCCATTGCAGTGAATTTTACCTGGAGCTGTTGCAAGACTGGGGTGAAAGCGGCACCCAGTCATATATTACTCATTTCATAAAATGTGAGTGAGGAATCAGAGAAGTAGTTTCTTAATATGTCACAACAGTCTTACCCTCTCCCTGTCAGGAGTGAGTACAGCCTTTTTTAAGGGTGAACATTGCATACCCAGGATGAGGGGAGCAACTGCCAGCTTATGGGAACCAGAGAAGGGCTTTGTCCATTCTCTGCAGTTTGGTTGTTCTCTGCTTCTGTCCTGTATGTCTTGTTCCTGCCCATTCCAGTTTACTTTCAGTTGAATTTAAAGATGAGAGCTGGGAAGCCCAATTTCCTGTAGAGAGGAACCTACTTTTTCTCTCTGGTTAGCAGCAAATCATCTAAAAATCGGATCCTGTATGTTTGAGATTGACCATGTGCGGATGAGAGATAAGGAGAAGGGTGCTGAGTAGGGTGCACCTGTCGGGTGGGAGGGAGGAGCACAGCTATGTTCTCCATTGGACGGGTCTCTATACTAAATCATTGTCTTGTAGCTCTGGGCATTAAACACTTGTGTAATAAACAGGTGGACTGCATGAACTTCAGGCAGCTCATCACATAGGCTTTCCAGCAGAAAAAGTGCAATCTTCAGCTGAATTGAGGGAAGATCATATTTTTAAGTGGTTGTGTATTTCTGACTGCATTTCCTTCTTCTCGCCCAGTTTGGCGGCTCTTCCTGCCTTTCCTCTCAGTAGTTTGTCCTAGTGCTGTGCAGTCTGCCCTTGAAGACACATTACTTAATGTCACAGAGGCTTCAGCCTTAAGCTAAGAAATAGACTTCTAGGTTTTTATACTGATAAATCAATCAAAGTTTATTTCTTTAACTTAACTTGGGATTTTAAGGTGGAGGCCATACAAATGAATATTTTGAGACTGCTAGGGAAGATCACTGCTCTGGAAAGGAACACATTACTGTTAAGAATTCCTACATGCAGTTACAAAACTTAAAAATAAACTACTACTATGGAATGACAATTCATGTTCAAGATCTGTTTTAGTTGAACTTCGAACTCTACGATACTCAAAAGTGTAAATCTGTTGTTACATTATGGATAAAACAGTGACTTTTTTTTAGTTGAGTGTGTTCGTTAAGGTGTTCTAAAGTGAAAGATTGATGTGAAGTCTATAATTCTAAGGAAGTGTGACCATAAATAAATATTTCTTTTTTTTTTTTATTTTATTCTGATGCAGCTTCCTGTTTTCTGCCACTTACAGTGCATGGCGGCTTATCCTAATTCTGTGCTGAAGTGAGGTGGGAAATCTGTACAATAATCCAGCATCAGTAAGACAGACAAGGTAATGATAAACGTATGGTTTTGGAAAGGAGGTGAAAGAAGACCTGTGGATGGACGCTATTTTATTTTTTTAATGCTTTAAATTTAAAAAAAAACCAAACAACCAACTTCTGCAGAAACATGTGCTTTTACAACAAACTTAAAGTGTTAATTAGACTGAGTGCCTCCAGTTAAGACTCCAGTGTTGCAAAACATGAATAATGCGTTAGTGAACATTAACAGTATTATAAATGTCACTGTTTTATTATAGTGTCTCAGCAGCAACCTGGCTGTGTTAATTGCAGGTCCATTTTCTCTGCAATTAGACTGTATCCACCTACCTCCTGGTATGTCTGATTAGGAGAATGAGTTTTGTTGAGTATTTGATTGTCTTTCTTTAGCCCAGTGACATCACAAAAAAAAAAAAGGATTTGCATGAAATATTTGCTTTATATTAAGTTAATTACCAAAAAACCAGAAATTTAATTACAATCCAGAGATAGCATCATACTACATCTTTTTAATGCAAAACAATGCCATTGAAACAGTAGAGTTAAATATATTTAGGTGTATTAAGGTATTATTATTATTAAAGGCTTTAGTTGAGTGTCTTGTTTCTCTGGTAGGAGAGAAGTAATTTTCAATGTAGTACTTTAAAAATAGACTGACCAAAGCAAAATTAATTTTTCTCACAAAGCACTATGCTGTAACGTCCTTAGAGGTAAGGGAGAAATATCTGCATCTCTCTCGCGAGAATTCTTTTTGCACAAGAGAACGAAGAGCATGTTTGCCTGCATGTGGCTTTGGAAATGTCAATGTTGATGTTTAGGGCTTCCTGCTTTTCAGATCTCTGGTATTTGTACTTCAGATGATAAGATAACGGCTTCTTTAATTGCTCATCATTCCAGATCTGTTGTTTTGGACCTGTCCAAAACAGTGAAGAAAGAAGGGGACATTTGACTAGCTATCTAGATCTTTTTCTCTTTTCATTTGCCTGCTCAGTAACTTCTTCCATAGTTTCTGTTTTTCTTTTAAACATAAGGCCTTTGTGTGTGTTTATAACAACAGATATGCCTCATACAAAGTGGTAATTTTTAAATTGTCTTATATAAAGTGTTAAAGATATAACTCTGAAGTATGTGCTGTGAACTGCTTGGACACAGGATGGCTTTGTTGCACTTGCTTTTAAGTTGGAGCAGTTGTTCACCTCTCTTAAAGCAGTGAGAGTAACTGACTGTTCTGACCATGTATATACTGCATAACAAATCTGTGGCTCTGAGCCTAATGAGTAGCTAATATGTGGTCTGTTGAGCAGCTTTTAAAAATCTAAAATTTTGGTTAAAACATCTCAGTCAAAATTTAAGAGGAAAGATTTTGTATCTTACTTTCTGGAGAGAAACCCTCAGTGTGTTCTGATCGTTCATATAATAAAACCAGTGTTCAGCTCTTCATTTATTTGTTCATTTGTGTATGAAATAATGCATGATTCAACTTGATCCCCTTAATAAAACCACCTTACCACCTATAATCTTTCAAAGATATTTTGTCCTGGCAGTATTTTCTTGAATGGGGGGGGAAAAAAAAGCACCCTTTGCTGGTTACCATATGGGGGATGTGAAAATAATTCAATAAGGTGATAATGTAGCCAATGTAATGTTGTAAGGCTGAGAGCATTTGCTACAATTTCACTTTCCCTGAGAGAGAGGTATACATGTACCTCAAATGCAAATCCTAGGGGATATTATTTCCTTTATAGCTTTTTTTCTATGAGAGTTTGCAGCTGATATCTTAAAAAAAAAAATAAATTAAATTTCCGAATGTCACACATATTTAAAAGCTGTCTGACCTTTTAAAAATCTTTACTTTTAAATTCTGAGCACCGTCAACTGTGGTAACTGTTGATTTCAAGTGTTTGGTCTTACAGACTTCTCTTTGCCTGTGAGATCAGTTAGTATATTGTGCACTTAATTGTTTCAGAAATTAGTGCATCATAGAATGTGTCTGAGAGAGGTTTTCTGGAGAGCTTCCCAACAGTAATGCTTTCCAAAGGTGGAAAGCTTCAGAACTGTCTTCATATACATTTAAGTAATGAACAGTTTAGTTTTCTAAAAAGTTTTCAATGTTTTGTTGTTAACAGGTCTGCAGGCGATAAGGAATCCACCATGAATGGGCAGCTGGATTTAAGCGGGAAGCTGATCATCAAAGCTCAGCTTGGGGAAGATATTAGGAGAATTCCTATTCATAATGAAGATATCACCTATGATGAATTGGTGCTAATGATGCAAAGAGTTTTTAGAGGAAAACTTCTGAGCAATGATGAAGTCACAATAAAATATAAAGATGAAGGTAAGGTTTAATTACTACTGTTGAGGTTTAATTACTGCTGTTGCTCTGATATGATTTATCTAAGCACAGAAACTGTGACGTTCACCTCTTCAAAATTCTCCAAATTCGTTGGCAAATGCAAGTGATTTCTCGTGAAATCATTTGAATCAGACAATAGAAGCTGTATCTCTTGTGGTTATCCTGCTTAACACAGTATTTCCTCTAGTTTTCCTGAAATACTAGCTATCTAAAAGTTCATTTTTTGCTGTTGCAGGAAGCTGATGCTATTGCACGTTTCTCTGCTGTCCACTCATTTAACTACTTTTTTGGTGTTCTCAGTGATAGAGCAGGTTTCAAGGTGAGGGGTGAATAAACTTGTATGACTTAATGCAAGCTTGATCTATGTAGTAGTAATTCTTGATTGTGTTTTCCTCCATCAGTAAAGATGAGAAGAAACTTAACATAGACTACTTTTAATAACTATTTCAGGTTTTCTTCTGTGTGACAGTTTGGATCTGTTGGGCATTGGTTGTACATAGTTTGTTTCAAAGAAAATCTCTATCATTAGTGCTAAACAAATGCAACCTTAAGAAAGAAGTCCTTCCACAGAATAAATAAGGCCTTGTTTGAGATGCGTAGAAAGAGACTTGTGGTTCCAAGGGTTTTTCCGCTTTGAGTGTCAGTGTGGGGCATGGATAAGTTACTTAATTTGGGAGAGAAGGATGGCATTCATAAAATGAAACTCAGAATGAAGTGATAAAATCCAAAGTCTCTTGGTCAGGTCAAAGACTATGTAATAATTATTCTGGTGTACAGTAAAAGAGCTACATTACTGAAGCATTCAGGTTCATTTTTCTTAATAGTACTAGGAAACTTTAGCACTGTCTATGATACCTAAAATGTCAAATAACTTTTGTTCTTACATCTAGGCAATAAAATTTCACTTTGAATTATCCTGAGACAGTTTTGTCAGGTTTATGAAGCTTTTGAGCTCATCAAAACAGATATGCAATGTAGGGCTAATATTTCGGGTCTTGATCTCTAGTGGGAGAGAGCTGAGTGGATTTGTGGTGGTTTTATTTTTCCCTTTATCACATAAACAATTTTGGTTTTCTTTCTGGAATGGGAAGGGTGAAAGGAGATTAATGGGTGCGTCTTCATTAGGTTAAAGCTTCTAGTCCCTTTTTATGCATTCTTGCCTGTTCTTTAACTATCACAGAATCACAGAATTTTCAGAGTTGGAAGGGACCTCCAGAGATCTAGTCCAACTCCCCTGCTAAAGCAGGATTGCCCAGAGCACATTACTCAGGACTGCATCCAGGCGGGTTTTGAAAATCTCCAGAGAAGGGGACTCCACAACCTCCCTGGGCAGCCTGTGCCAGTGCTCTGTCACCTGAACTGTAAAGAAGTTTTTCCGTGTATTGGAACGGAACTTCCTATGTTCCAACTTGGGTTCCAGCTATAGTTCTCTGTTTTGTGTGCCTCTACACTTGCCTTTTTTGAAGACGATAATGGTGTATGGTGGAGTCTGTAATTATGGTTTTGTTTTGTATTTCACAGCCTAGAGGCCTAATTTTATCTTCTATCTCAGAATGTACTTCTCCACTGTGACGTGAAATTTCTGTATATGTTATCCTAGATGATGATCACTACTAAGAACATTTAAGCAGTGTTAATATCGGAGGAAGCTGCAAATGATTAATGAAAAAGTTAGTAGAACCAGGCTTCAGTTTGATTGTCATATGAGGACTTTGGTATTCTAGACTTTGTTTCAATTAAGATAAGGTTCTTTAAATTTATTTCAGTCATTAGAAACATTGGAATATATTCGTTCTAGCTATTTCCCTTTTCTTATTTATCCCTCAAAACCTGGAGGAATGCTTGTCTTCATCTTTTACAAAGTTCATCTAAGATTTCCACTACTTCTACAACTTCATCTGGGTACTCTCAGAATTCATGTGCACACTCCGAGGGTTCAGAAGAATGTTTCATCTGCCCCTCTTGGCTTTGTTTCTTGTTGCTGTAACATGTGAAGCTAGTGATCTTCAGGCCTGGATATGGGATTTTCTGCTTAAAATTTCTGCAAAATTTTGTGGCTCCATCAAACTGTCATGGTCCTTGAAGCGAATACATTTTGTTTTTTTCAAACTTTTATGCTAGGAAACTTTAAATTCCAAGCCTTCTGTCTCTGGATTTGTGGACTAAGATAGTCAGAAGCATATTCCAAAGTTATATAATGCTTTTATTAATTACCAGGGAAAAGAAGTTTCAGTTTGATAACTGCCTTGTGGAGTAGGTCTTTCAAACTTTGAAACTAAGGAGATTGCTCTACTAGGTGTGAAATTATTTTTACGTCCTGCTTAAGGTTTTTGAATATGTAGTAAAACCCAATGTCTGACACCCCCCCCCCCCCAAAAAAAAAAAAAACCAAAAAAAAAACCAACCAAACAACCCTATGAGGAGTGCCACCACTGAATTTATATGAATCAAAGAGTAGAATTGCATCTTAAGCACACCATGTTAGTGAGTTACATCACATGCTAAATCCCCCAAGGAGTCAATAATAGAAATGTTACTTCTTTTTACTTAAAGTTAGGCTTAAATTTAAAGCTAGAGTGCCTAAATGTGAGAATGGCCTTTTCGTTCTTATTCTTCATTACCTTGCAGTAGAAGCTGATGTCTGTCTCAGAGCTGATAATGAGTTTCTAACTCAGTGTATGTAGTCAAGGTGGTGGGCTAGTCAGTAATGTCTCTACTTTTGGGTTTAAAAGGGGTAAATTTACTGAAGTGAAGGAAAACTGCATTTTTGGGTGGTGGGCTGTCTTGTTCCCCGCCACCCCCCCCCAAATCAAATGGGGGGAAAGAAAAAAAGATATATACAAGGCTAGATAAAGCTGGTAGATGAGGAGGCATAGCTGGCAGGGCCAAGGTTAATGAGGCAGATTTCTAATGTCTTAAACATTTCCGATTTCTTCTAACTTCTAATGTCATAAAAATTAGAAGGCATCATGATGATGTAGAATTAATGCTAAATGCTTTCCACTCCATTGGTAATTTAAGGGAGTCACTAGCCTGTACTAAAGATAAAAAAAATAATTGTAATTGGCATAGGAGGGAATATTTAGGGTACATGGGATTTGCAAGCTATGCCCCTTGTAAAAACTGGAAAAGTAAGCTTTTGAAATAACAAAATTAGAGAAAATAAAGGAAAGTCTATTTTATTCTTCAACAGAAAATAATTAACATTGTATATTCTTATCTATATAGTCATAGCAGGAATTAAGCTTCATAGACATTCCTTAAAATGAAAAGTTTGTTTGATAAATCTAATATACTTAAATTGTCAGACTTTTGTATGGCTTGACATACACATCTACCATATAATCCTAACATACGCACTACTGGTTAATAACATGATGGCTGTTGATAGGAATTGTAGAACTGACTTTATACTTCTAACAAGATTCTGTACTTGGTGCTTTTCAGCCTTTTTTTCCTGCTAGCAATTTAAAAGCAAAACTCTAATCGTTATTCTTAACTGCCTTTAACATAAATATTAAAATCGGTTAGGGAGAATAAGATGGAATGTTCTGGATTTTTTTGATTTACATTAATCCATGTAAACCATGTGTATTAATACAAATTTTCATTTGGCTATGCAGGATAAACTGTTCAGAACATGCACCTTTTTTCAGGCAGTGAATCTGAGTATTGACAGAAAAGCATTGTAAGATAGTCTGTCAATGTTGTGCACTGGCAAGAGAAGTAATAATTTATCCTGTAAGCAGGAGAGTATGGAGTAGAAAGGCTTTGTGTTAAGCACCAGTGGATTTTGGTATCAGCATTTAAGAGAGGATACTGGAAAGCTGGTTGGAAGTGTTTGAGTTGGAGGAAAAAAGCCACACTTTACTGCCAAAGAGAAAGGACTGTTTAACTTTATGAAAGTTACTTGTTCAGTGTCTGATTCTATAAGCCTTGTTATGGATCATAATAGCAAACAGGGACACTTTTACCTTCCCCTTGGCACTGGTGAGGCCCCACTGGGAACCCCGTGCTCATTGTTGCCCCCTGCACCCCAAGCATAAAAGACTTGGAGAAACTGGAGAGGGTGCAGCAGGATGCTGTGAGGATGGTGGGGGGCCGGGGGCAGGTGGCCTACAGGGAGCGTTTGAGGGAGCTGGCCTTGTTCAGTGTGGTGCAGAGGAGGCTGAGGGCAGGGCTTAATAGCAGCTTCCGGCTAACAGTGGAAATTGCAGACCATTGAATCCCAACTCTTCTCAGTAGCACCAGATGGAAGCAGTGATAAACTGCAGTTTGAGAGGTTGAGCCTGAGTTTTGGCCAGGAGGGCAGTGTGTCACTGGAGCAGATTGCCTAGTGGGGTTTTGGAGCCTCCATTCTTGGAGACTTTCCAGTCTCTACTCAGCAAATCCATGACTGGTATTGCTGTCAACCAATGTTTTTTGAGATTGTCAAACTGCAAAACTGCAAACAGGACATAGGATACCAAAAAAAAAAATCTTTGGAGACAACAAGATTTTCTTCAGGAATGCTTGCAAATTATTTTATGTCATCAGTTTGTTAGTATTTGTAAGATTCCTTGTTTATTTTGTTAGGAAGCAACTTCTTTGAAGACAGATGGTCATTGTTAGGTGTTATTAATGGTACTGTACTAAGAAAAGCTTCCATGGCAGAGGTGTTACTTGTAGTCAGGGTATGACAAAATTAGAACGTGTAGTTTTTAGAATTTTGAGGTTCTGTTTTTCAGCTTGCCGTCATATGTTTTATGACTGTCTATACTGAAGCATTAATATTTATTTGAAATTTTTAACCATAACTTTTATAGAGCTGGCTCTTTATGTCACCAATGAATAAGGAATACCTCAGAAATTTTAGGCAGTAATCTGTAATTAAAAACATGTTTCTGTGTCTATCCACAGAGCCTCCTTGTAACAGTGTTTTAGGGAGGAGCATTGGTAGCCCGGAGTCAGCTTTCTCCCAGGCTGTGTGTTATTTGTCTAACGTTGTTGCTTCTGAAGGTGAAGCTTCACTAGAGAGTGTCTCATCTCAGTTCCTGGTAATCAAGGTGTTCTGGAAGGAAGCGGTCCTGCTATCCCTTCTCGTTCCCTCTACCAGTACACACATTTTCCTGATAATGCGTTCCCACTCTTTTCTTTTGCATTGCCTAATTTGTGTTCATTTAATCTATTAATATATTAATAATCTGTTGAATAGTTAAAACAGCAGAAAATCTGTCCTGCCAAAGACAATAGTGTTGTTTCATCTGTGATCTTGTCGAGTAAGATGTTATGTGATTGTCTATTATCTTGACTCAGGTTAAAAACTGTGAGAGACCAGACTTAATGGGAACTTGCTGTCTCTTTCGGGGATTAATAGGCTTAAAGGTGTTCAATACTTTATGCATAGCCCTTTGTGTCTTAAGAGTAAAAGATCACATACATTTCTTACATAGTTTCTGTGTCTGATGGTTCCCAGTGGGGCCTCATTAGGATGCATCAGGAGTTCCTGTGAAATCTGCCATCCCCCCCAAAAAATGGCTAGGGGTTGAGAATTCATGTCAAATGCCTGGTTTGAGAGAAAAGTTTTGTTCTGACAACTTTGACATCTTTGTATCTTCATTCTGATTTGTGGGTTAAGGCTGATAGGTACTTTCACTGTTCACTTTTACACAGGAACTTTATTATCATTCCCTTGTTGAAAATCAGTCTTGTACATTAGTGTTCTGAGTATAACCCGAGAAAGCATTCCTGTCAGTTAAAATTTTCCCTAGTTCATGTGCATGTTTCGTTTTTTAAAAATTAAATCAGGATTGGCTTGTGCTATCTATCTTGACTCTCCTGTCTGTTGATGAACAGTACAGTTTTGGGGCTACTTGAAATGAGCATATAACTTTTAACTGGCAGCATCATTCTTTCTGATGTTGGCCTTTGTGAACTCTCAGCTCTGTTATTTCATCCTGTATGCAAACATAAAAGAATGATGAGCTATATGGAACTTTGAAAGGGCTCCCTTCTGGAGCCAGTCATTTTTCTGTCTTACCTTAAAAAAACCCTACACACTGACTCTCATGCTAAAATAGTAAACGTTTTTGTATGGTGTTATGTACAAGTCTAACTTGTTGCTTTGTTGTGATATGATTTCATAAAAACCCTGGGTTTGAGGGCTTCATTTTTCTTGATAAGTGTTCCTAATTCTAGAAATAATTCTTCCAACCCAAGTTACTTTAGATGCTTTTTAAATCAGCAGTGTATTTCTCTGATTTGTAGCTCAGGGAAACAAGGCTATAAGCCTTACTTAGTAATGATGGAAAACCTCTCTGTTTACTACTCCTACATCTTCATTTTTCACATCCTCCATATAATGAGGTATCGTACCCTTTTTGTGATAGTGTTAATTGGTACCTTTTTTTCTAGTAGCTTCAGAATCAAATAGAGAATGTTATTTTTTAGTAATGAAGTAACACTTCTGCCCTAGCATGAAGTTCAGTAGTCAAAAAGCTTTGATTTTAATCTAATGTTTTCATGTTCTTTGCAGATGGAGATCTTATAACAATTTTTGATAGCTCAGATCTTTCCTTTGCAATTCAATGCAGTAGGATACTGAAGCTGACATTGTTTGGTAAGTATAGAGGATTGTTTGTATTTTTCTTTTTCTTGTTTTTTTTTTTTTTTTAAATAATGTTTCTTAAAGTTCAGGCAGTGGGCTTTGCTGGAAGGTATTAAAATCTTCCAGTTTGTCACCTCAGAAGGATGAAATCAGTAAGTTAAAAACACTGGATTACTACAATAGCTATTTTCTCTCTTGATGTTTCATGTGACATCTGAACTTGTGGAAGCTGAAACTATTTCTTTTTATAAGATTGCTTAAAATATTTGGCATACACATATATATTTATGGTCAATTGTGTTTTCTTAATGTTATTTTCCAAGTTATCTTCTACTCTTCAGCATTTGTGGGGTTTGCTTCACAGGTGCGTGAGAAATTTAAGATGATGATAAACTTGCAGTGTTAGTAGTACACTGCCAAAAAATAACATTAATTGCTTAAAGTTGAATAGATTTTAACATTTATCCTTTGGCCTTTGTATAAAATAGTTCTTTATTTTCAAACTACTGTTGGTAAATTAGCACATAGTTCCAACAAATAGCAAGCAGCCTTTAATCTGAACACTGACTTTATTCATGAATTGCAGTGGTGTTGTGTATGCTGCTTTAGTTCTAAAGGTACCTTCTAAAGAGACAGCTTTCTACAACCAAGTATGATATTTGTATTGTTCAGGTTATATTCATGGAAATGAGTAAACAATGCAGAAACTTTACTGCAGACTTTACTCTGCAGTGGTAGTACTGTGGATTATGCTGAACTGAGATTATATTAAAAGAACAGTAGGCTCTAGAGTGAGTTCAGTTTGTGTTGACTGAACTGTGTCACTTTAAACTCCACAGAGGATGATGATGCTACAAGCAAGTAAAAGTTGGGTTTTTTTTTTTCTAATTTTAAACTGAATGTCAAAATGTTACTGCAGTCTTAAATTTATCTAATTGCTGTTTTGCAGTGAACGGACAACCAAGACCCCTAGAATCTAATCAGGTGAAATACCTGCGTCGAGAGCTGATAGAACTTCGCAATAAAGTCAATCGTTTACTGGACTGTTTAGAACCACCAGCTGAACCAGGGCTTTCCACTAATCTGCCTGAAAGTGGTAGGCAGCCTGGCAAAGAATAGTTTGCTTTGATGTGCAGAGTTGTGTGCAGTTTAAAAAAAGTGAAACGTGGAGGTTTGAATATTGGTTGTGATCGTTCTTACTTGTTCCTTGATGGTTCAGAACTTATTTTTTAATGCATCGTTTTTTTCAGAGGTAGAATTTTTATTCAAATTATCTGGAGTAAAGCACTAAATTAACTTCGGAATAAAACTTCAAAGTCTGAGTTTTTGTTTCAATGTATGAAAAAGCTGTAACTAACACTTGTGAGTCACGACAAGATTTTGAGAGGGCTTTGAGCTGAATTAATATTTTTTTGTTGCTGAAGAGTTCTTGCTCTAATCTGAGCACTCCCACTGCTTACATTGGGCTAGCTCTGGTGCTTATCTTGTCATGTTGCTAAGCAAGTTTGAGTCACTAAAACAATAAAAAGCAAATACAGCAAAAATTATATCCACTTTTTTTACCAGGTTAGGAAATTGAATCCACACATTTTGAGCTCAGACCAGCATCAGAGCTGTCTCAGGGTAAGCAGCACAAGGGTGCAGATAAGGGTGGGAAGGGCAAAATGGGGGAGGAAATCTTATTCTGCCAGTTTTCAGGCATTGATCTCCTAGCTTAGGGCTGTTGCACTGTAAAAACTATACCTCTTTGTGCTTAACTACAGATTTTGGGTAGGCTGGACACAGAAAATAATGACAGAAAGTCATGGAGTACAGTGTTCTGAGTAAAGAGATGAACCGAGAACTCCAGCCTTTCTTTTACAAAATGCCGCTTTTGTATTTTACGCTTAGAAGTTTTATTGGTTTTGTTGTTTAAAAGGTCCCAGACCCTGTTTCTACAATATTTCGGTATATTTCAGTGGAATTTCTAATTTCAGTGGAATACTGTGGATTCTGGTTATAAACCATTTGGAAGGAGTTAGGGTGATGATCTTGGAGCGTAAACAAAATTAGCCAGTCTAAACCCTATCTACAAGCGTTAGTTTTTAAGACAAAATGTAGCACTCTACTAGGTAGGGGATTTCTGAGTGATTCAGTGTTACTTGTTACTGCAAAGAGACAAACTTCACCTATCAGCTTAGAAAGAACTTGGGGAGAAGGGGATAGAACAAAACAAAAACTGCAGTTGATAAAACACTGTAATAAACTGGAACTTATCCTGTAAGTTTTCCTAATTTTGAATTCTCTGTTGGCAAATCAAACCAGAAGCGCGATCCTTGTACCTTTGAATTTAAGACAAAATGATACATGATACTGATACTCCACGGTGTCAGTGTATCTTTAAGTAACTGTGCAATGAAACCTAGGCTTTGTGATTCAGCAGTTTCAGATACACTACTGATTCATCAAACATTTCAACAGTTAAATTTTTTTTTAAAAAACCCACAACTATGCAATTTTAAACTTGCTGTAGTACAATATATATGTATGATGGAGTTTCAGTTCTCAAATTAATAACTGGGCATTTTGTTTTGTAGATGCTGTAGATGGTAGGGAAGAAAAGCCTGCTGCTGCTGACTCTAATGTTAAGCCATCTACTCAAGTTATAGCAGCAAGCATGTCTGCATTTGATCCGCTAAAGAACCAGGATGAAATCAGCAAGAATGTCATGTCAGCGTTCGGCTTGACAGATGACCAGGTGTCAGGTAAGAATAAGTCTTATGAAAAGGAAAGCAAAACCTGCTTTCTTCAGGTGCTAGCTAGAATATTTGCAGAATTGTCAAAGCAGACAATTGCTTTTAGTCTGAAGCCTGACATAACTTGTCTGGGAGTGCGAATGTAACACATTCCTTGGCGTTTTTCTGATCACATGCTATATGACTGTTGGTAAAACACTGTTCTCTGGGCCCATGTGGGCCACAGTAAGGCACTAGTGCCCAGTTTCACGCAGCCTTGCACCTTTGCTCCAGGTGAGAAAGAACAAGTACATAGGTGCATATTCTATCCAAATGTGGCAGGTCTTCAGTGTATGTGTGCAAGGCTAATGCTTGAAGATGTGGAAAAAACATGTTGTCACACAGAGTTTTATCCCACAAATGGGTCAGGTTTCACAGAAGGATGAAATTTGAGTGACCTAGAGACAGGTGGAAAATTTGCACAAAAAATATTTTCAAAGGAAAGTTTAGATGTGCAAATATATCTAGCTTTAGCTTGGGCACGACACTCAGATGTAAATCTATGGAAAACTGGAAAAATTGTTAAAAACTTTGCAAGGGAATGGTCTTGTGTTAAGCTTTTTTAATTCAAACTCTGTTCACTTCACATACTATATTTTGTTCTTGCTCCTCTAGGACCACCCAGTGCCCCTGCAGAAGAGCGATCAGGAACACCGGACAGCATTGCTTCCTCCTCTTCTGCAGCCCACCCACCTGGTGTTCAGGCACAGCAGCCACCGTACCCCGGAACACAGCCACAGACTGGTCAGGTGGAGGGTAAGCAGCAGGTTTTTCTACTATTTAAGATGGGAATTATGGTGTCTGAATCTGAGCGATCAGTAGCAAAGACTTACAGTTAGCAGACCCAAAGTTGATAGCAAACTGCAAATTCATCTGTGCCACAAGGCAGAAATTTTTTTTCCTCACATGCTGTTCAATATAGAAACAGCAGGTGGAGCAGGAGCTTTATTAAAAAGGGTTGGTGATGTAACATGAGGCGGCTTTTCATCCTACTGTTTTCTACTTGCGTCTGTGCTCATTATACTGTTGGCAGATTTATATACGCTGCTCTTCAAAGCTGTCTGAAAACCTTAATTCCTATCATACCCTGTGTGTTGTGTCAAGCTTTCACTCAGCTAACAGCTTTTTCGCTTGTCTACTATGAATTAAAAATGTTGTTTACTTGTTGTTTCAATCTAACAATACTGCATTGCTTCTTTACTATGTATGGCTCTGTGCTAGTCAGGTGAAACCTTAGAAGTATCTCATATGCATTGTAGTTTTCCTTTGCAGCCCTTGAGAGCCTCACTTGGCTCTGCTTTAAAGCTTAAGTTCTTAACTCTCATATTCAGATTCCTTTGCACTATGCCCTTTTACATGTTATTTGATTTCTAAAAAGAAATGTATTCAGAGGTTTGCTACATTTGGGTATCATTTTTCTATTGATATTTTCTAAGAGCACAAAGACTTTGGACCTGCATGGTTCTGGATGAAACTCTCTGGAAGGACTTGCTTTGGTATTTCTACCTCCGTACAAAGTACAATATAAAGTGGTTTCTGTGTTAGTGTAGAAATAAGTTACAGCCCTCTGCTGCTTTCTGTGCTGACATAATGCTGAGGTAAATGTCAGAGGCATTATTGAGGGTGATGACAGTATCCACAGTCACTTGGAATATCTTGCCTGAAGGGCATCAGTAACATTTTGGTTGAGCAGAGTATTTGAGCAATTTGTAGTTAGGAATAATATTGAAGCAGGCATGAATGCTCTTGGTTGCAGTGGAGTGATATCAATGAGACAGCAGGAGACATATTTGTCGCTTAAAGATATAACTGTTTGGTGTTTGGGTGTAAGTTACTTTTGGAAGAAAGTGCTTCAGGTTCTTCTGTCAGCAGCTAGAAAACTTAGTGGTCAAAAAATATACTCCCAGCTATTGAACTTGTATTTCATGAATTTAGCCTCTTTACTTATACAATAAGGTATGAGTTTTTAAAGTGCTGATGTTGAACTAGAGCTGAAACAAAAAAGTGAAACACTTAAAAGCACTAGCAGCAGTAGGTTGGAATCCCATATGGCTGATAACACCAGGGAAGGGAAAAAGTACTTGCTTCAGCAAAACTCATCTTACTTAGGGAAGAAGTTGTCTAGCTTTATGTATCAGAGTAGATGTAATGGTTTTTCTAAACTTGGGTCAAGAAAGTATAGTGGGGTGGGGTCTTTTTTTTTGTTTTTTTTAATCACTGAACTGTGCTATACCTTTGCCCAAGTCCTTTTTTTTTTTGCATGTAAATGTACAACAGTACTAATTATGAAGGTTTTGGTCTGTAGTTCATGCAGTTTTTATTATTGCCACTGAAATATGTTAAGTATAGATTATATTTTATTCACTCTATGGATAAAATAGGATGGGTCAATTCTTGGGAGGAGATCAAAAGTCATTATTGCACCTTGTTCATCAGAAATACCAGTGGGAGTGCTTATGCTGTCTGTTGTACCTGTATGGTAAAGAGCTATCTCTTACCAAACCTGGGTAATGTATGTGTGTTTACCAGCTTCTCAATTTTTTTCATAAGCTGAGTTGCTTTTATCCGAAGTATCATTTTCTAAAGACTTCTCTTTGAAACATGGAGTAGCTTTCTGTACTTCACTGTTTGGTAGCACCTCAGTCCAGTGGTAATTTGGGGACCTGTGTTGTCCTGTCTTGCTCTCCCTTCTTGCACTTGTGCAGCCACGTAGAGAACCTATGCAGGGCTGTGGCCCAGCCAGAACTTTGGATACGTTTTGATGGTTTAAGTTTTCAACAGGATTGGCTCGCACAAATGGCACATGTTCTTGTTAGAAACTAGTTTTAAAACTAATTTAAAAACATTAGTTGACTTCTTAAAAAAACAAAACACCCTAAGAGATGCTTCCCCCCACCTTCTCAGTACTTTGAGGATATAAGTAAAATGGTGATGCCAACCACATGTTAATCATCCTGGTACATCAGAGATTATTTTTTAATGGCATTCTTTGCCAATAAACGATGTTGATAATTATAATTGGTTATTAGTTATCGTTATTTGTGAATACTAAGTCACCTCACCTCTATGTGCAGATACTAATGAATGGCTTGCCTCCCTTGATAAAGTTTTAAGCATTCGCTAGTTTGAATTAAATCAATACAGCAAAGAAGTTTCAGTATAGTGCTGTCTTTTGTGGCATGCCTGTGCTTTTGTACCACTAAATCCAGTTGCTGAACACACATGGGAACCAATTATGTACAGATGTGGACATGTTTTTTGTCTTTGCTAAAACAGATGTAAAAGTTCTTTCATGTAAGGACTTCATGGTCTTCTAGGGAAGAGAATGTTGGGTGACTATATACCTATTTGGTCGTTTTTCTGAATCAAGATAAAATGGCTGTTTCAGTGCACAGGAACAATGGTAAATGCTGGCAGATCCTTGACTGCAATAAGCGCTAAGTACAAAACCAGACACTGATGCTGTAGCTCACTTGTTTTCAGAGTAAAATCCAGTGAGAGGGAAAACTGCGTGTTTAAGGACCCATAGGATCCTTGACTGCATTCCTGGCTGTAAACTTAGAATGTTTTCTTGAACGGCACTGGAACGCGTCTCTGCTCCTCACTAACACTTCAACCCTGGTAAAGACAGCAAGTCTTCTCAGAAAGCTTTGGAAAAACTCCATGCTGTTTCTTTCCTATCCCTTTACTTGCCGTCTCCAGCAGGTGCCAGTGTAGTCTCTGTGTTAGCCTCTAGGCAGTCTCCTGGTTGTTCTCCCAGAACTTCCCTATAAACAACGGAGTTTAAGAAATAAAACCCATGCATTCTGAGTTTCTAATTTGTAATTATCAAGCTAACAGGCTTAAATTCTCTTCAGACCTTGTGTTTGGCACTCTTTTCATCCCACAATAATTGCATACCAAATATATTTTGAATGACTGCACCAATATAAAATATTTTGAGCACCTGAGTGTGAATGTAAAATACTGTTGCTTTAAGCTGCGAGTACTGCAGAGACAAGAAGAAATAAGGAGTTCTGCTAAAGCAGCATCCACAGGGTTCTGGGAGGACTTGGAGCAGAGCTGAGTTGCTTTTGTCTTGTACAATTCAGAAGATATAGCTTACAGTGTATTTATACAGTCTGCTGATCTTTGCAGAATGAATAATAGTACAGTAACACTTTATAATAGTGAAGTTTCCATGTCTACTCCAGTTCAGCTACGCTTTAGTTTTGGCAGATAATTGTCTTTGTTCTTTGACTGTGCCTGTTATTAAATTGAAAAACAGCAGAAGCATAAAGCCTAAACAGGGCCCATAGGTTAAATATAAACAAATATTCTGCCTCTTCTTGCCAAGAAATTGGAAACAGTGAATTTAGGAAAAAATAGCATTTAATTGGAATACCCAAGCTTAAGAATGTATGGTTTTGGTTTTGCTTTAGGGTGTATAGCCCTGGGTCTCTTAAGAAAACTTAGCTTACAGCAAGTCAGATACTAAAAGATGGACGACTTATCTGGAAAATGTGGTCAGAATAAATAATGTATCACTCTGCTTACAGTACTGTGATGCAGAAATGGTCTTAAAAACCTAATACAAACAGACTGTCTGAAGATGTGTTTAACTTTCGAAGTACTTTAATTTACAGTGTAAATCTGTAATGCTGGCAGATCCTTGACTGCAATAAGCACTAAGTACAAAAAATCTGGAGCACTTATCAAGACACTTAAAGATTCCTGCTCTGTTACCCACCAGAGTAGCACTAATTAGGTGCGTGGTTTCTAGCATCCTCTGAAAATGTTAAATAGTAAGCCCCCTGTACCAAATCAGCACTATTTATTCTATGGGAGTTAAACATCATTTAATCTTCAGAATGGCATGGTTTGGAAACTAAAACCTGTAGATTGGGTTCAGCTGGTAATTAGGTAGAACATACTCAAACTTCACTGTGTTCAGATTTTTTTTAAAAAAAGTTTTACATGTTGTGAGACGGTTTGTTTCTGGGATTTTAAACTGTTAGGATGTTGTTCACTGTGTGTTTATAATGTAGCTAGGGTGCTGGGCTTCAACTAAATAAGTTTTTAATCCATAGGTCAGATGTACCAACAGTACCAACAGCCTGGTTATCCTGCTCAGCAGCCGCAGGCTCAGCCCCAGCAACAGTACGGTATGCAGTACCCAGGTAAGCAGCTCTCAAGCGGTGGTTTAGCTGTAGAACCTCTCCTTCGGTGCCTGGTCCTGTGAGCTTCGGTTCCTGAACCTGTGGGCAGGTCAGGGCGCTGAGCAGCCCGAGCACCTGTGGTTCTGATGGGAACTGGCATGATTCAAAAATCACCAGTAAGACAGCACTGTAGCTGTCTATATTTTTAGTACGTAGTTGGAATTCTGGTACCTCAGTCCTACTTGATTGTGACCAAAAGCAGACTTCGGTATTAATCAGCAGAATGCACTGTTAGAAAGGCAGGCAAAATGAATCACCTGAAGTATGAGCAGTCTTCAGGATTAACTTCTGCACCCTGGGGATTCTAGCAATTAAGAGACTAAACCATCCTAATTTAGCTTCCTTAAATATTGGAGGTATATAAAGATGGCCCCTATTTCGTCAATCTAGAATGATCTCCGTGTACAAAGTTTAGTGGTGTTCACACTGATCGTAGCTGTTGTTTAGTAAATCGTTAGCTATTATAAATACTGTAATTTCAGGGAAACTTTCAAGTGATACGTTTTTTCAGTTGTTGATTTTGCTGATACCTCAAATGAAGGTGGCAGTAGACTTTTAGCAGAAGAACATTTTAGTGCATTAGTGGGTTATGCACAGTCAAATATGAAAAGCTGGCTTTTGCATATACCCAAAATAAACTTGACTTCAGAACTTTCGGTTATTTACTTTAGAAGCAGCTGGCATCTAGTAAGGCATAGGATATGCTAGGAATCGTAATCCAGCTAAAGTACAGGGATGAACCTATAACAGCTGATTCCATAACAAATTGCAAGTTGTTGAATACTTTTAGAAAATGATACAAAGCATTTGTCATTCCTTGTTTTACAATCTTCCTTAAACTAAACAAAAGATTCCCGTACCATTAAGCGACTCAGAATAGAGCCTGTATGGCCTTTTTTTGGGTGTGCAATATATACAGTGGGAGTGCATCAGTTTTCATGTAAATGAGAACACTTGCAGAGCTTATGAAGAAATTCCATGTTTATCTTGGATACGAACCCTAGAAAACTTGGAACTGAAGGTTTGTGCCTCAGCCCTTGTTCCTGTGCACTGTGCAAGAGCTGGTTGATGGGGTCACTTAAATGGTGTCTTGTTCTCTGCAGATTTCTCACCCCCACATTTGTAATTAGAAGACAGTGACAGACTTTCTGAAGTCTAATTTCAGAAGAAGTAACAAGCCTGTTGGAAGTAGAAGGGTCGGTCTGACTTTCTGTAGGCTTAAAAACTGAGGGAGGGGGGAAGTGTCCATCTGCTTTCCAGCCATATTCTACCATCATCTAATTCATTATTTTATGGGAGAGGTTCCTGTGAAAGCTGTAGTGAAATGCAAGTTCTGCACTCTAATCAACAACATCTTCAAGTAAGAATGAACCACCACCAAAATTGATCTGGGGCTCCTCTGTTTCTCATAACTTATTTCATGATTGACCTAATCTTTCAGAAACAGTATTTTTTATTATTTTTTTTTGAGGGTCTTTTGGCAGCAGCCTTTGAAGAGCTTGACTCACAGGACTGTTTGGTTTGCTGTTGTTCCCATGAGTATTGTCTCCTTTCAAACCCATGTCTCCCAAGAGCAGGATCCAGTCCTGCTCTAGTAGATCTCCTAGGCAACAATGTGGTTACTTGCTCATGGTAGTAAAAATGGACACTTTGGAGGTTTGTCTCATGAGTAAATTTTGACCCCAGTTTCAAGGTGAGTTTCAGAATTTACTCCAGTGCATTCTTCAATCCTTACTCTTTCTGTTTAGGGCTGTGCACTTTTAATAATTTGTGTGTCTGGTGTTTAATGCTGACAGGATTCCAGTCACTGGAGAGGTTTCATTGCAAGTAGCTGCAGGTGTGTTTCATGATGGATAAAAGTAGCTATTTCTCCATAAAAGGACTTTGTGTCATTTTAAAGTCTGCAATAAGAGAAATTCCTTTTGGAAGCTGGTTTTACACAGAAAAATCAAGTTGGGACATGTTTAAATGGAAGTTTTGTACTTAAGTATTCTGTTCTGCACAACTTTTTCATATTTAACCCTAAAGAACTGAAACCACCTGATTTAACCAAAGGTATGACTTACATTAAATCCTGATGCTATTTTCATGACGGTTTGGTTTTGAGTTTTTATTTGGGGTAAAAGGTTGCGTTTTGCCTCATTTGCCAGTGAGGGCTTTTTATTTTTCACGTGACGTGATGGTGAAATACTCTTTGTCCTGTTGTTGTTTTTTTATTTGTCGTCGGTCACAGGAAAACTGTTTTGTACTATTTTCAGTGTTGCTGCGCTGCCACGGTCGTGCAGCAGACCCCCGGCAGCGTGCTTAGGTGAAAGGCAGCAAAAACTCGCAGTTCGTCCTTGGTTTGCTGCTTCTGTGCTTACTGCGTCGGTTGGTGCTTCTCGCGGTAAACAAACAAGCGAACATGTGCCCTTGGTTCTGTGCCGCCTCTCACCCTGCCTCGCTCTTTGCCTTTCCAGCCGGCTACAGCCAGCAGCAGCCCCCCTCGCAGCAAGCCCAGCAGTTCCCGGCCTACAGC